TTAGATATTTCACACCCTCCACTATCCATGTACTTTATCAACAGCCCTGTTCATTACTCCATAATTCCTTCCCTAGTGAAATCAAGAGGCAAGTTCAGCCTTCCTGTCTGGCCACAAGGCAGGTGTCTCTCACAGGGAGCTGGCAGTGTGTTCAAGTGCCCCATCAAATTCCCCCACAACCCGGGTAACAGCCTTTAGGGGTGCCAAAAGCTCTGCCAAGGCTGCTGCAGACCCAGGGCACAACGCTTCACACTGGTAAGAGGTGCTGGCTGCAGGAGGAGGAACCACATAAAAAAATACAGGACCAAGATATTACTCCTTGACCTCTTAACTTATTCAAATACATCCATTTTTAGTAGAAGATTTCCAGAGGACAGATGCTGCCAAGAGGTCTTCCTCTCATAACACAAGTCAGTCAGAACTTGAATTTCCAGCTAAACCATTTCTGCTGCTGGTGGCTGGGACAGCGGCAGTACAAAAGATCTGAAGGTCATTCGTAAGAAGCAGGGAATGCACACTCAGCCTCTCGCTTTCTGCTTATCTTCTAGCCAAGAGCACTACAGTGAAGGTGAGTCACCAGCACAAAACCACGGCGTGACTCTTCCAGAAGTGCCTGCATCTAAATGAAGGTGAGATGGAGGAAGTGCAGACTTTGGGGGGATTTTGAAGAGCATGATTTTGTCCTTTCCCCGATTAAAAAATTCATTAAAAATAAACCTTGGGGACTCACCTAAGAGAGAAGGAAAGAAGAACTTCACTTATGTGAATCCCAGATTTAAAAATGCATCTAAGATGAATGATTGGGAATAAAACCTGTTCTGGTAAGGCCTTTTCCTCAGGAATTCCCGTTTGCTGGGAAAGAGGCAAACTCTGTTATCAGGGAAGTCAGTCTATTGAAGAGAGACAGGGAAGTCAGTCTATTGAGAGAAGCATGACATACCCTACTCTTAAATCATTTATATTTTACTTTTTTATGATGCAATCATGAATTAGCTGTTTCTGCATTTGTAACGAGAGGATAGAACAGATGGTCAGGGCTTAGTTCATGGTGATAAATCCATTAAGAAAACCTACAGAAAGCTGCTGCTATGGCAGACGCTGCCAAATAACTGTTCATTCAATGCTCTGTTCAGGTTTTGGGTACTGGGTGGAAGAACCATCCCACTTCTTCACTACCTTGAGGCACAAGGGATAAGAAATCACACACAAGATTGTGGAATGTATTATTACTGTCTGTGTGGCTCAAGAAATTTGGATGGTATCAGGGGATGCACAGGGGAATCCAGGGAAACAGCCTGGAGCTGTTGCTTCCCAGTAGCTGCCCCTGCAGATACACATAGTCCATACAGGACTGTGTGTCTACTTTTAGCTGAACCAATGGCCCAGCTGCAGAGTAGAGTTCTCTATCAAGGAGTAATTGCAAAATATCCAGTTCACTTTGAATTCATGCCTTCACTTGTTCTGCAAGAAACTTTTCAAAGCTTTTAGGATCCTAGAATAATTTATGCTGGACTGGACCTAGGGAGGGCATTTGGTCTAATCCAACTCAAAGCATTTGTCGCAGTGGACCAAACCTGTAGGTCCCTTCAAACTGAATCTATTCTATTCTGTTCTGTTCAAATTCCACCCTTAGACTCCTGCAGAAGGCTCTGGCTTAATCTAGTCCACCTATTATTTTCTAAAAACACAGGTCAGAATAATCGGGTATCCTAAAGCTTATAATTAGAAAAAAAATATATCAAACCATAAAGCAAGCAAAACAAGAAATAGTGTGTTCATTATTTCTGATGCTGTCTTTGACCTGAATCACATCAGACTACTCTAAAAATGAATCTAAGCAGAATCCATGGGTCAGCTTCAGGGAAGTCAAGAGCTGTGTTCAGTCTCTCTGTACCTCTGGAAACCAGCAATACCCCTTTCCAAGGTGCTTTGACACTTTAAATTTTGCTGAAATCCCTCTCCATCATTGGATTTCAGCACCAGAGCATCACCGCATATCTTTGGGTAGGATTTCCATGTGGAAACAGTGTCTCCACACACCAAGAGCTCAGAGTTTTCATCACACCTGAGTGGCTAGGAACTGGCTGTGGAGCTGTATCAAGTCTATTAAAGGAGAAGGAAGAGTCTGCTGAGAAGAATGTGGAGTTGCTGCGATATCTCCTACAAAAGCATTAAGGTTTCTGTGGGGGAAAATGGAGCCCACCAGAGATACAACCTACCACTGAAGGGTTCATGCCAGTCCCCTGTTCTTCATTTCCCAAGGACCTGGGCGCACAGTACGACTACATAGGACAGATCCAAGACAATTCTTGCATGTTGAGCTCCCACGTGTTTCAATGGGAACATCTCACGGGAGGGGACACGCATTAGGTATGACAAGGTGAGCAGAAGAAAACTGATTGCGTAGAAATGCACACAAAATAAAAACACTACAGTTTCAGTGTTTTCTTCCGTATGTAGTAATGTTGAGGGGCTTTATTAACAAAAGCTGTGTAAGCAGAGGTCTGAATTTGAGCAGGGTTCATCTGACATCTTCACCTCACTGCTTCCTGGCTGGCTGCTCAGTATCTGCCAGTGTCGGCATTATGTGATGCTCTGCTTGTCCCCAAAGCCATCAGTCGAGACAGAGCCTGGGCTGGGAAGTGGTTAGAGTCCGAATAAATATTAGCAGGATAGTCTGGACCGTGCCTGCTTCCCTCTACTCTCGCCTTCACCCGCCCACATGCATGCTGCTGCTGCTGCCTCAGCACAGAGTAACGCTACGGGAGGAGCTGAGGACCTTCTCTCCCCCACCTCCACACATCTAATAGGATGTGTGACCCTTCCCTGGATGCAGCCTTGTGTACGTGCTGGAGTCAGGTGACATTTTTAACAATAAACCTGCTGAATTACAATTCAGGGAGAATTTACTTGAACATTTACATAATGTAGCTAGGGGAGACTTTTAACTGCTTCCCCTTGTGCATATGGGAAAAAAAAAAAGGGAGGAAAATTAAGTAACAGCCTAATTGGCTTTTATAACAGTCTATGGGGAGAAATGCAGGCCGGATGTCTGCCTAGCTACACAGCTTGGTATGTGCTGTAACTATGGGAGGCAATATTACAGGCATGACAGGACAATGATTTGGTTTTTCAGCAACAAAGATCTGCAAAATTAAATACCTCCAGCCAGGGGGGTTGTTTTCCACTTGAGGAAGGCCTGTCATGCTGGTTTGGATGAATGCAGCTCAGGCTTCTGCTGGAAGGAAAAATGGAGGATCTGCTTTGCCAGTGCACCACCTCAAATGTGGATCATGGCTGCTGGGATGAATGGGATCTGCCTCTTCCACCGCCACCCTCATTTAAATCAAGGCGTGGTTTGCAATGAACTGGGTAACTGAGGGGATGATGAGGCTTGGGCTGATGGGCCCGATGCCTTCTGCTCCTTCTGATCCCACTGCTCCCCTAGGTGCATGGCCCAGATGCCTGCTCCCCTCCTCCAGAGCCCAAGGAAACTGGCACAGCAACAGACCTGTGTTGATGCAGTTCCCAGCGCCTCAAAACTGCTGCATTTTGGGATGGTACCCTTAACAGCCACAAGGAAGATACTGACGGTTCATTTTTTATTTAATTTTGTCTTTTAAAAAATCACCAGTTAAATCAATGTCAATTACATGAAAACATGCAAGTTTCAGGACTAATCACTTTCTCTCATCCGCCTTCATTTCCCAGATGCTTCAGGGAGAACTCCATTGATTACTTCCTCAGCAGCAAACACAACCTGAGATCAAGACCAGGAACGTGAGGGAAATGCCTCTTTTCCACAGCTGAACTGGAGACAGAAGCAGTGACCCCCAGGAGTGACACCATCACCTGCCACCACTTGCCAGACCTAAGCCATTTACCAGAACTGAGGGAGTGTCAGATTAGGTCTCTCCTCTCCAAAGGCCCCCTAAAATGTACCAGTTGCCTCCTAAACCATGGCTAAATGATTGATATTAAATGCCACAGGGATAAGCAAGAGAAAAGACCTCTGATCGTTACTTCCCCAAATGGCTGAACATGGCAAGATGCCATTCCTCTAACACAGCATGGATGTTGACCCCTGCCAGCACCAAGAGCCCCGAAAAGCCCTCTCCTCCCTGTCCAGCAACACTCCTCTCTGAACATCCTGAGGACTCACAGCCATCACATCTCCAGGATTTTTCCCAAGGTCCTCTGGCTTCACTCCACAGTGTCTTATTACACAGGACAAAGCCATAAATCGAGTGTGTGCCCCCTCTCCCTGCTGCAGCAGGTAGTGAGCACCATCGTCTAAGAGCTCTGCTGATATCCATCTTCTGGTGCAATACTTCGTGGATCCAAGCAGAGGGAGTTATTAGAGCCACCGTACTGATCACATGCTGTGTTGGATGTCCTGAGCTGCCTTTGAACTCTGTCTTACACGTAAGGATGGTTCAATAAATGTGTATATACAGGACTGATCACACAACACTATTTTTTTAGCTTTGATTAGATTTAGGATAGAAGAAATAGACTAGAAAGAAAGTAATTTTGTATTAAACACCATTATTATTTTCGTTATCCAATGCAATCAGAACACGTCCTTCCACATCCTTCAGAAATGATGAACCAAATCAGAAATGGAACTATTGGGGAAGAAAAGCAAACAACAGCATTAAGGCTCAGCCTGGAAAACTAACTTGTGTTTAGGTCTACCTTCTAAGGACAAGAGGGCAAACTAAAACACATGTCCTACTACAGGTATATTTATAGACCAAGTCAAAGCAGCTGTGACTGCAAATCACACCCACAAACAAGCACCCCTCAGACAGCACATCCCCCTGGCCACCCCTCGATCGGTGAGAGCAGTGCCTGTAACATGCATCCAGGACAGCGACAGCACTTTGGCATGCAAGCACCAGACTCGTTCTCCTTAAAAACAACCTATAATGGCTGCAACCAAACGCCTCAGCAGGATTTTGTTATATTTATAGCTCCAGCGATTGTTGATTTTTGTTTTTTTGTTTTTTTAAGCTGATCTCTTTGCCTCTCGGTAAGAAGTGATCGAAACCTTTACCTGCAAAGGCTGCATCGGCATTTAAGCGGGTTCTTTACTCATTGTTTTTATACGGTTTGACAGCTCAGGCCGAGCGCAGGATCAGCCGCGCTCGGCGCCTTGCCCGGTCCCGCCCCCCCGACATGGCGGCGCGGCTGCCCCTCAGGGCGCTCGGGAGCCGCGGCCTCCGCCTCGTCCTGCTCCGCTCCGGCGGCTGCGCCCGCGCTGCCCACAGGGGCACAGGTACCCACAGGGGCACAGGTACCCACAGGGGCACAGGTACCCACGGGGGCACGGGTACCCACGGGGACACGGGTAACCACAGGGGCACAGGTACCCACGGGGACACGGGTACCCACAGGGGCACGGGTAACCACAGGGGCACGGGTAACCACAGGGGCACGGGTACCCACAGGGGCACAGGTACCCACGGGGGCACAGGTACCCACGGGGGCACGGGTACCCACGGGGACACGGGTACCCACAGGGGCACGGGTACCCACGGGACATAGGGACCCACAGGGGCACGGGTAACCACGGGGGCACGGGCACCCCCGGGAGCACAGGTACTCACGGGGCACAGGTAGCTCCCACAGGGGCACGGGTACCCAGAGGCAGATGAACTCCCCCGCCTGGAGCTTGGGGAGGGGCGAAGAGCAGGAGCTGCCCTGCAAGGGGTCGGGGGGCATCCCCGTTCTCGGTGTCTTCTGGCCGGTTAGCGTGCTATGGGTTTCCCTCTTGAACTGGCAGGCTAAACTCTAGGGGTTTTTTGCTTAAACTATGATTTTCAAATTCATTCTCCCCCTTCTTTCCCCCTCCCCGCCCCCCAAACCTCTGCACTGAAAGAGGTGAGTGCAGACAAGCATCGCTTAGGAGCTGATTGTTTTTCGAAGATCCTGTGCTGATGGGAGATAGGCAGGGAGGTAGTTCCCCACCTCAGACTTTTTGATTAGGAAGGTATTGGTCTATTTTACTCACTCTTTTTCAGCCAATCTATTCAGCCAATTCTTTGCCAGTTCCATACCACCTCCGTGGTGTGTAGAGATTGGCAGGAGGCGTTGCTGGAGTTTTGCACTATGATGAGTGACTTCTGCCCTCCTGTTGCATGTCCCTCACTTAACTACACCCCCTTTCTCTTTGTCTGTAGGTGTTTATTTCTTCCAGTGCTCCTTCTTAGCACTGCTTTTCATTGGGCCTGTGAAAGTTGCTAGTCTTCAACAGCTCATACATGAACATCAGATCCGGTTTCTGAGGGTTTCCAAACTGCCAAACCTTTTAGTGATACCCGGGGATGAGGAAGGAGCATGAACAGACCAGGAGTTATCCCAAGCTGGAACAGAGGGCTGTGCAGGGAGAGCAGGTGGTATTTTGGGTCATAGGTGCCCGTTTCTATTACAAGCCCTCCCAAGTGTTTTGCTGGAGCTGCTCTCTGGATGTAGCACATCAAATGGAAAGCAGATGCAAAGTCCTGCATTCACCCTTGCTCATGTCCCTGAATTGCCCACTGTGCTGTGTTTGTACCCATAGAAACTTGGGGAGAACTAAGATGATGATGGAAAGCATCGACTCAGTCTAAGTTAAAATAGTGTTAAAAATAATACAAATTATCTTTCTACATCTAATTGAAGACAAAGGGTCTCTGACTAAACAAGCTGAAGCAAGAGTTACTACAGACTGGAAAAAAAAATTGACTCCGGAGCAATTCTATGTTACAAGAGAAAAAGGAACTGAACCGGTAAGCAAAGGCACTAACGCTGTTCAAAGGTAAACCACCTCCTCTGCCTGCTGGGCTGAGAAAAACCTGCTTTGGGGAGCTGTCACCACTCAGTTGCTTCAGAGGATTTCCCCTGCCTTCCTGTTGATGAAAGTTAGGCTCAACATACTGAATTAGGTGGATTTTGTTCTGACACAGACTGGTTTGAAGATGAAAAAGCATTCTGCATTCTTTTCATATTTTGTTGGGTTTTTTTCTGGAATGCTTTGCTGCCAGCTCAGCTCTCTGTGTGGCAGTAGTGGAGGCCTCTTCAGAGGAGAGGGATATTGTATTTTTGTCCTGTAGTCTCCTTTTTTGACCATATGTAGACTAGCCATGGAAATGTTGTACATAGCACTCAATTCAAGAGATTGCTTATCCCTCATGTGCCAGATCACCCACCTACCTTGTCCCCATACTTTGCTTCCTTCTGTGATGGAGGCCATTTAGTCTTGTGGATGGAGCACTGGCATCCACAGCCCAGAGCCAGGACTTCTGCGTGCATGGAGCATGTACCGTGGGATTCAATCAGTCAGCTGCCCAAATTCATATCTGTAAAATAAGGATCTGAGTTCCAGACCGTGCAGGAAGGAGGAGAGTCCCTTTGTAGAGCCACTTTAAAGTTGTGGCACTCCATAACAGAGCCATGGTCTTTGGGATCCTGCTCATTTCACTAGTTCCTCGGAGGTCACGACTCCATCCCTGGTACCTGGATGATTTATGCATCTGACTGGTCTCACAGTTTACGGGGGTAGGGGGTAGTCTTTCTTCACTGTTAATCCAAAGGCATCCTCCCCTTCATATCTTTGGGCTGCTAATGTTTGTTCTTCAAAGCCCCCCTGTGAAGCCTTCTTTTTATGGTTTTTCTCCTGTTTTGAATCTGATTCCTACATGCTTGTTCCAGATGGTGAGCTTTCAAAGACCTGCATTATTAACTTCTTTTTTTTCCTTCCTTTTTAAAAAGCCATTTAGTGGGATCTATCTGAATAACACGGAATCGGGAATATACTACTGCGTGTGCTGCAATGCCCCACTCTTCAGGTAACATCCTTAGGATTTCATAGTGTCTTTAACATGCCCTAATTGTGGCAGGAGGGGCAGTGACTTTTCATGAGCGGAAGTGGAAAGGAGGAGGAATGGGAAGAAGGGCAGTCCCTACATATAAGACCTCCAGGATGCCTGTGTTGATACAGACACATGGTACGCCTTTTCCTCGAGCATGTGAGGGTCTCCAGTGCCCAGCAGACAGTTGCTGCGTTAGGGTCTGTCTTGTTCTCCTGCCACACACTGTTCTTTTGGGTTGATAGTAACTCTCTGTTTAAGAGGTCCTTAAGCCACAGGCTGCCAGAAATTATGTGTATTTGTGCATTAGTATCACTGTGTGTTTGCTCTGTTCTTGTGCTCCTCCATAGTTGTCATCTCCTGCCACTCATGCTGCTGGGCCGCACAGACCTTCTGTCTGCCTTTGTTTAGCTGTTGTGATGTTCTAACTGCTGGGTCCCTCTCACTGGAGCTAAGACCCCCACCCCCTACTTGTTCCTTAAATTAAATTCCACTATTCCTGCTTTTTTGGTTATATCTACTTTTTAAAACCTGACTGCCAATGACTGTGCTGTTAACCCCAGCGCTCTTTACAGTGCTATATATTTTGCAACTTCATTAACATCTAAGTAAAAGGAAATAGAGTGCCTTGGAGTAGGATGTGCATTGGGTGTTCTGTTCTCTGTAACTGAACCAGAAAAGACAGTTTCTTTTATTTTTGGTCTAGAAAATAGCCCTTTATTATTATTATTCCCAATTCAATGAAATGCAGCTGATATGCCCATATTTATGAAGACTTTAAAGGATGCATCATAAAGCAGAACTTCAGAGGGAAGCTGAGGAACAAGAGATCTGGATAATAAGAAAGGAGGGAATATGTAATGGCTGTATTGAAAATAAACCTAAATTAAACAATTAAATTGTAAAAATGGAGGCTGATCATTTTGAACGGTTAATTTTCCTTTGGCCAAGTATAGAAAACTGTTATTATGCAAGTATGCATTTGCTTAAATGTATCTTTTTCTGTAGAGTTTGCTAATAAAGACTTTTGAATAAATTGATTTCCAAAGTTCCAGCATTACAAAATATTCTGAAGATAAATACAAAAACTAATAACACCTCTGAAAAATTCACATAAATTAGAGAAATTTTAAATTACTAAGCTGTGGAAGAGTTCCTTCAATTCCTTCAATTTTTCCTTCAATTTCAGTATCTTTTGTATTAGACAATAGATTCTGACAGACCAACATGAAGAGAGACAAGCACTGGAGGGAATTGCTTCTGCTGCTAAACTAGTAACAAAACAACAATATAACCAAACAGTCAGGCTGCTTTTTGCACTCTCCAGCTCTCAGAGAATATAAGTACTTTTGTTTAAAGCACAAGATAATGCTGAGCCTCACAGATCAAAAAAAAATGAACTGTCAGAAAGAAAGCTTTGTAAGAAAATTTGAAATTATTAAATGTGCAAAATGATCTGAAAATATATTTTCCATTGATATATTATGTTGTGGAGAACACTAAAAATGAAGGAGGGAAAGGGGAAATGGTATTGGATAAGAGATTCATTCATCTTTTTTATTTCCTAGTCCATTAAAAATGTCCTTTCTTTTTCAAATGCATTAGATCATTAGCTACAGGTAAACATGAAGTATTTCTTCCTTTCTTTGAAACATGTGTGTATACATTTATACCAAAATTTATTACCTTCTGCTACCAAATATTCATTTGAAAGAGTTGGAAATACGTGGAACAAACCTCTAACCTTTATAGATAGCAAATTGTGGTGCTTTAATTAAATCTCAAACCTTCATCAAACCATAAACCTACAGCTGAGATTCATACAGCAAAAAGCACTTTTTAGAATTATCTGGATTCCATCCAGGATGACTGAAATAGGGATCAAAGTAAATGACATGTGCTGGAGGAATGGTGTGTCGAAGGCTAATCTAATGCATATGTTTAGGGAAAGTCCATTTATCCATAAATTAAGTGGTGAAATACTTCAAAGGACAAATATTATCTTGAACAGCAATATTTTTGGGTACTAAAATGTTTCTATTAGGGAATCTAAGTGATATTACTGTTAGTAAAACCACACAGAGGCCATTTCTGTTGAGAGCTAATTTAACAGCTCAAAGGATTGTTCCTTTAGCAGTGGAAAACATCTACAATAAACCTAAGTATTGTGAGTGACATGTAAGGGACAGAGTCAGTCAGGGTCAGATGCAAAACTCACAAAGCGTTAAAGGCCTTCCTTGACTCTACGGGGTCTTAGAGAGGATCTTTGTATCTAAGTATGAATAAACATAAGGACCCCTGTGACAAAAAATAAAGAGTTCTGATAAAAAGGAATCGAAACAGATATATGTCAGGGAAACTCAGAAGTCACGTACAGATATGTGTTCCCCCACGTTATTCTTGGGGACTCGGTGGCTTGGTAGGCACATGTTAATGTGATTTTCTAGCAGGGAAAGCAGGGAGCCCTCTTTGGCTAGAAAGAAATAGTGCTGGAGCCTTGAGGACCTTCACATACAAATGCAAAGTCCACTGCATTTGCTTCAGTGCAGCCTGCTTCTGTCCTGTGTCCTGTTTCTCTCCAGTTTTACAGAGAGGAGGAGGAGGAGGAAGGAGAGCATTTCGCATGGGTATTTGTGCATTGATGTAAAGGGCTAAGCAACAGCCCTCACAAAAACTACCCTTTGGTCATTCTATGCTTGCAAATCCTCTTCTATTTCCAGAGTTGCATTACTCAAAACCAACCCTGTACAGATAATTATAACACCCATGCTGACGCACGCACTGTTCTTTGGGTTGGATGTTTTAAACTTTTTGCCTAGCTTGTTTATCTTGTCTTTTTAAAAGGCACTGCAATCTATTTTCGGCTTTTTCTTCACTGTGTTAATATCTCACCAGAATATAAATGATATACACTACATACTTACTTTTAAATTCTATGTTAAGTAATGGACTAATCCCCTTGACCCAGAGCTGCTACTGGTGTTGATGTCTCCATCCACCACTAGATGCCAGTAAGAGCATTGAGTTTGTGAAACTGGGAAAAAACTTGAGAAATCGAGAGGAAATAGTCAAGGTGAGTCTCCAGCCCACTTATCTGAGAAGTATGTGAATCTATCTTCATTTCTTGTTGTAGCTCACTCTAGGTCCCTCTTTGATAGGAGAAAGTCCATATTGCTATTAAAGCTTGCGCAGTTTTAAATAGGAGGGATTATCTCATTTCTGTCCTAAATCCCAAAAATATTTTCTGATCGTGTTTTCCAGTACACTCTAGGTTTTAATATGCAGCTAAACAGTGTCTGTCATCCTGGATGTTAACAGGAGGCAATCCACAAGTTGACAGTCTATAGTGCTGTTTCTGATTGCTGCAATGATCTCTTGGGAAAAGTAGATCTTTGTGCTGTGAGGATTTCTCATTGGTTGATCGATGGTTTGAGCAAGGCTTTGTTTGATTTTCCAAACCAGCTTGATGGCTGACTGCCAGACAAAGCCATCATCATCAGGTGTGAGTCTGGGCTGGTGGGCCAACCCAGCCTTTGTCCATTCTTCATTTCTTGTAAACTTTCTGAGATTTTGCTGTATTGGGCCAGGCTTTGAACTGCAACTTAATGGGTGTAATTCAGCTGAACACCATGCTCAGTTGTTGGGAACACCCTTTTCCAAGCTTTATGAAATGCCAACCTGTGGTTGAAATAGAAACAGTGAGTCAAAAACTTCTGCTGTGGGCTGGTCGAGAATTCCCTTTGGAAAAGAGTTTCCAGCACAGTCTGATGCCAGTGAGAAGACTTCTACAGTGCTAAATATTATTAATAGCGGTACAAGACAGGAATAAGGAGAAAAGCCAATGTTCTTAATAGAAGCAGATTTTTTGGTAACATCTCAGTTATTAATTAACAAGAAAATCTGGTTTCCACTATAGCTCAGAAAAGAAGTACAATTCTGGGACTGGATGGCCATCATTTTCTGAGGCTTATGGTACTTGTGGCAGAGATGAAAGTAAGACCAATATCATGAGACGACCAGATAAGTCACTGGGATTAACTAGAACTGAAGTTGTCTGCAAACAGGTATGTTTATTTTGGAGACGATACCCAAAGATACAGATCTTAGCAAATATGTTTTCTTTGTGCCCATGAAGGAATCTTCCTAAATACAACAGCGAGAATTACAGTATCACTGGAACCATTCTGTCTGACTTTTTGGTATGAAACATGAGTGGAGTATCAAATATAGGCAGTCAGAGTACGTGACTGGGGAAAGTAGTTGTGCAAGTATAGCCAAGAGCTGGAGTTTAGACAGAAAATTTATTCAAAGGACCTCAGTTGCAATGCAGGGTGTGACAAGAGACAGTAAAAGAGTCTCTGAGATAGGGTCCATGCATTTGGCTCATCACAGGGATAGTTACTCCTAGTTTGGCTGCTAAATATTTGCTGAAGATGTTCTTAAAATATGCAGCCCTAGTAGGTAATGAATTGTAACCTGCATATCTTCCTACTGTTGGTTGGACATTTGGGAAAATACTGTTTGCTTTGCAGCTACTGAAGTTTGTTACTCTTTGCCCTGCATGGTGGTGGCTGTGCCCTGCATCTCCACAGCTATTTTTGTGGATTTTTGTGGTTCACAGAAGCCACTCTTCTAATTTTGATGGCTATTTTGACTCCCTCAGTCATTTCTTTTCTAGACTAGAAAGGTCCAATTCTTTCAAATGTTTCTTTTTATGCCAGTGTTTTTTAGTGTGCTGATTGTCCTGTTGCTCTATTTTGCATTTTTTCCAATTGACCCTTTTCCTTCTCCAAGTACAGTGCAAAGCTGGACATAGTGCAGCAGCTGGGCCCAGCCTGCATCAGAGGTTGGGAGCTGTTCAGCTGTTTTGTAAATGGTGTTCCCATCCTTACACTTTTACCTTTCCACAGCCCACAACACACTTGTTTTGGGACATGCTGCAATACCCAGGTCCTTTTCTAAAGAACTGCCACCCCTAACCATTTCTTCCCAACTCTGAACCTGTTTATTACTTTTGTTAAGATATAAAAGTATGCAATTGAGGTTGATGAATTTGCATCTTGGGTTTGGTTTTTTGTTGTCTGTGTGTGTCTTTTTTTCCTAAACTGTTGAGATTGTTAATGCTGTCCTTCAGTGTGCCTGCAGCCCTTCTAGCAGGATAAGGTATATCTGCAAACGTAACAGGAATTCACTGCAGTCCATTATCTTGGTGGAGTTCATGTTTGCAGCAATATGCAGCAAGCACCTTTCAAGAACCCTATCTGAAGACAACCTTCCCATTTTATGATGAGCCACTGATAGCTATACTGAGTCTATTTTTTTTTACATCAGCTTTTTGGAGGAGGGAGAATCCTCAGTTAATCTATGAGAAGGACCTACAGTGACTGTCATAATTGAAATTTTCATAATATATTGAGAAGTCTATATACTTCCATTTATTTCCTTTATACTTTCTGGCACTAATACCTTTTTGACTTCCTTTTCTGGGATCTGCTTGTTTGGAGGGCAGGTATCTGCCCACTGGCCAGAGGTGATTACTCCAGGTTGTATTACTAGCCTCTCCCTAAGACTCCCCCCCACCCCCAGCTAAATAGTGAATTAATAAAAGTTTCTTAATTCGGGATAGCACAGTAGGTACCATCATAATGGTGGTCCATAATTCCGATGGTAATAATGCAGTAATAATGGTTTCCAGTCACCAGTGGTGTTCCGCAGGGCTAAGTACTGGGTCCCGTCCTGTTTAGTATCTTCACTGATGATCTGGACAAGGAGGTTGAGAGTACCCTCAGTAAACTGACAGACGACCAAGTTGGGTGGGACTGTTGATCTACTGGAAGGTAGGAAGGCTCTGCAGATGGATCTGGACAGGCTGGATCAATGGGAAGAAGCCAATGTTACAAGGTTCAACGAGGCCAAGTGCTGGATGCTGCCCTTGGGGTCACAACAACCCTGTGCAGCCCTACAGATTGGGGGAAGAGTGGCTGAAAAGCTGCCCAGCAGAAAAGCACCTGGGGGTGCTGGTCAACAGCAGCTGAACATGAGCCAGCAGTGCTCAGGTGGTCAAGAAGGCCAGTGGCATCCTGGCCTGTATCAGAATTAGTGTGGGCCGCAGGAGTGGGAAAGTGATTCTTCCCCCTGTCCTTGGCACTGGTGAGGCTGCACCTCCAGTACCGTTATCAGTTTTGTGCCCCTCAGTTGAGGAAGGGCATTGAAATGGTGGGGCAAGTCCAGAGAAGGGCAGAGAAGCTGGTGACAGGTCTAGAAGGCAAGTCCCGTGAGGAGCAGCTGAGGGAGCTGGGGTTGTTTAGCCTGGAGAAGAAGAAACTCAGGGGTGACCTCATCACTCTCTACAACTACCTAAAAGGAGGTTGTAGCCAGGTAGGGGTCAGCCTCTTCTCCCAGGCACCTAGCAATATGACAAGAGGACATAACCTCAAGCTGCACCAGGGGAGGTTTAGACTGGACATCAGGGGGAATTTCTTCATAAAAAGGGTTGTTAATCATTGGAATGGGCTGCCCAAGGAGGTGGTAGAGTCACCATCCCTGGAAGTGTTCAAGAAATGTGGCACTGAGTGCCATGGTCCAGTTGACAAAGTGATGATCAGTCAAAGGTTGTACTCTGATCTGAGAGGTCTTTTCCAACCTAATTGATTCTGTGATTCTGTAATAATGCAATAATAACATGATAATAATTTCTGTTGCAGTGTGACGCCCATCTAGGCCATGTGTTTGACGATGGTCCCACACCTTCTGGGCAGAGGTTCTGTATCAACAGTGTTTCATTAAGCTTCAAACCAGGCTCTGGTCAGTGAGAAGTGGATCTCTGTGGCTTACAGAATGTCCCTTCTCTGCTTGTACTGCATGCTTGTGAAAAACTGTCATGCTTTTAGTATATAACCCAAATGTTAGTACTTATGCCACGTAGCTTTGTTTTCCAGTTATTATCTTTGTTAATAAAATACATATTTTTGTCATAACTCTTTTGCAGTCTGTCTTTTCATGGTTAGTGTGATGTTTTGATTTGCTTACTGGTTTTTTTCATCTAAAAAAATCTGTGCAATAGTTCACTGTAATAACTATCATCATTAACTCTATTGAGGCTGCTGAAATGACGTGCTCTCCTGAAGCTGTCTATTCTGACCAGTAATTGTGGCACCCAGGAACACAGATATACATGGCTGATCATGCCACAGCTTATACTTCTGTAAAACCATCTTATCTTTCTAAAGGGAAGCAAAAATACCATGAATCTTCAAATAAGGTTTGGTTTTGGTTTTTTTACCCTAATGTGAGAGACCTTTAGCCAAGCCAAGTGACTTTTCCATGAACCCACGAAAGCAAAGTCCTGAAGGAGGGCCCTAATTAAAACTATTCCAGGCAATGGAACCAGTGGAGACACGGAGTCTTTCTTCTTTTAAATGAATTATTTTGATTCTGTGTCCAATAGCAGAGCTGAAATAGGGTTTGCTCCAGGAACTTTCTCTTGCAGCAATAATATGATTATAATGTAAATATTTAATAATATTTATTAAATAAAAATGAATGTGAAATGTACTGTATTTGGGGAAAATAAATTGGCATCAAAAAACAGGTTCAGTAAAATGATGTTTTTGCTGAAAACATGCCTTGTCTGTTCTTTCTTGTACAAGTTTGTAAATACTTCTGTATTCTCCCAAGCATTGTCATTATGGTTTGCTCTAACAGAAAAATAAATCCTATTTTTGTTAAATTGAGCTTTCCTGCTTTCAGATTTTTTTTTCCAGAGAAAATAATCTCTGAGTCAGAACATCAGCTTCACTAAACTGGCTGGGTTTAAATGCTTCCCTGCTGAGAGTTACTAGGCAACATCTCATTTGGCTTTACCTATAACAGACTGTTTCCATTCTCCCCACTTTGGTTGCCTCAGTAATAAAAAGGATGCGTTCATTTACTAGTGTAGTCTTAAATCTGTTTAGACTGACCTCTATTGCACTGAATTTGCTTTTAGTCCTTCCGTCTTGGAGCTCTGCGTTTTTCCCTTCTCCTGTACTTTCTACAGGAGAACTTTACAATTCTGTAACTTGTAAAAACATCCTAGAGACAGGGATTGCTACAGCCAACCTAAACCAGAATGGCACAAAGGCCACCAGAGGTGTGAAGCAGCATGAATGAAGCAGACACTGCTGCTGGTTTTACGCAGTGTCATGGACGGTGGAAATCACATCAGAGGTGTCTGTTATCAGCAACAACATGGTGCTTGCTGTGCCTGTGCTGCACCCTGCTCTGACACGCACAGGTGCCCTTGAATCATCTCCTACCTGCTCTGACCAGGCCGTACATGCCCACTCTGCTCTCAAGTGTCTTCACAGTTTGTACAGAAATCAGCGTCTTCGCATGCTCCGAATTCATGTGCCCCCCTATCCTGATATACTTTCACTCACTATTTGTTTTTCTTTAAATCTATTGCAAAGCTATTGGAAAGGGTATTTGTCCTATAAAGGCATTCTTTAGTCAGCCAGCTGTCTCCCTGCCTTTTCCAAAATAAGAGGGTTCTCTCAGAAAGCAGGAAGGTATCCCCAGCTGTACTCCTGTGTTCAGCCAAGTGCTGGTGGAGGAGCCAGGACCTGCATTAGTACAGTGACTTTTGGTGGGATACAAAATGGAAATGCTCCTCATTTCTGCAAATGGCAGAAAGTAGAAGAGAGCTGTCAAAATACCTGGTTTTTTCCTATCCCCAGAGATGGCATGTTTCACAACCCCTTTTATGGGTGAGAGTGCCACACAAACAAAATAGACCATGAAGCTGACAAAGCAAGTGTCCACACTGATGTGTGCAAACCACGCTCAGTTTGGTACCTTGGATGTACGTGGTTGGTGGAGATCAATGCTTAGTGAAGTGGCAAGTTAGTAGCTACTATTGACAGAGGAATCTTGCCTGCAGAGAGCACGTTTATTTTACACCTACAAACATAATTGTATGCAACTGGATGTTTGGGATAAGGAGCAGCTGGTGCCTCCTCACTCACATGGCAGGATTACCTGAAGAAAGAGTCCTGTAAGACTCCAGTTTAGCTTGTGCAGTATTACAGATACATAATCATATGAACAGACCCATGTTTTCAAGAACAGCACTTGACCTGCACTACACTGATATGTCACCAAGAAAACGCCATATAGCCGCCAAGAAACGAGAGGCTGAGATAAGCAACCTTCTTCTGCTCCAAATGAAACGGGGAAAAAGAAGAAAGTTTGGCTTTGACCATGTGTACCAACAAGAGTAATGGCACATCACTTTTGAGTGTGATGTAAACTGCTGGACATTCGGGACCCCTGACCAAAACTTTGGGGCAGTGTACTTCATTATCTTCTGTGTCTGTGGTACCAACCACACCAGGACAGATCCCAGCTAAAGGCCCAAAGTATTTTAAGATCATAAATAATAAAGACCAATAATAATGGAAGACACTGTTAAATAGTATCATAAGCTATGAGAATTTCCTCATGTATCTATAATGACTTTGTTCCACCATAGTGAATAACGAGCATTTGCTTCTCTGAGCTGAATATACTCTGCCAGACAACTGCAGATTTATGTTCCACCCTTCACATTATTAGTTTCAATTATGATACTTTTTATCCCCTTGTGTTTTTAAATAACCTTTTTATAAATCCTAATTGAAGCTTCTACATAATTCTTAGGAGATTTTAACATCTTAAATAAACTGTCTGAAGACTTTCTTAATCTTTACAGCATCTCTACAAGGCAAGTAACTATTCTCAATTTTACTGAGGGAAAACTTCATGAGAAGAATTTAATTGACTTGATCAAGACTTCAGATTAAATTTGCAGCCAAGCCAGAATAAGACTTTGCATGGCTCATAACAGCATCCCTATCTTCAGACCCTGATTTTTCTAAAAATTGTTTTGGTACTTGATTGTTTTTGGAGGGCGGGAGTATAAATTATCAAAAGAGAGGAGGTAAACTTACCATATGTTTTTCCAGCTATGGTATTAAAATCAAAGCTAAGCCAACTAGGGCAACTTTGACTCATAAAGAACAACACTTGACCTCTTTCTCACAGTGAAGTAAGGACTTGGTTAGAAATTAGAGAAAGAAAGAAAATAGGGAAGAATGACCAGGTTACTCTTATATTACTAGAAACTTCACTCTCCTTCCACCAGAAATCATAATGCCCATAATTTTAACCATATACACAGAACTGTAGTGATGTTCTTTTCTGTTGCACCATGCTGCAAATAATTTGGATTCCCTTTTAAGCTTGTCGAGAGCCTAGTCTAATTTTGTTCAAAACAAGAGAAGAAGGGAGACTTCTCTCAGAGCAAAAATAGGATTTTTGCCACACTTGAACGTGTCCAACATGAGGTGGTTCAGAGGCAGCCTGCATGAGAAGAAACTGGAAAAGTCTCAGCTTGAGTTTTGCTTTTTTCCCTGACTGTTTAGCTAGTACTCCTAAGGACGTTTGTAATTTCTGGGCTTAAACCTTGGAAATAAGTCCTGTCACCACGCAACTCAACTGTCTCCTCTGCCATTCACTTAATGACTTTTTTGCACTGGGCAGCAAAGTGTTTTAAACCATCCTCCTGTGCCGTCCCACCTCCTGCTCTACCCGAGTGATGGTAACACTGCCCTCGCAGCAAGTCATGTACAGCTTAGTCACCCTAATGGATCTCACAGCTCTTCAGCGCACAAGTGATGCCTCCTCCAGCCCTCTGGGGCAGTGGTGAGCCACATGTCACAGAGCAGGAAGCTGACGGACAGCTGTGGGAAGTGACTCGCCCACAGTCCCCTGGGGCAGGACAGGTAAATCTGATTAAAGAAAGGGTTCTCAGAAGCTCTCCAAGTGTGAGCTGCTGCCAAAATTCACAAAGGAAAAGCAGTTTAGAAGCAAAGCTCTTTATTAAAGAAGTGCCCAGATTTTTTCAAGACTGAAAGAATTTGTCTCAAGGCAGGTGTGTCCATGAGGACTGTTTTATGTAGGACTGAGGAATTTGTGTGGAAGAGATTGGCAGCTTGCCATGAGGCAGAAGAAAGAGAAATTCATGCCCATTATTGTTCTCCCTTTTACTGTCTTCTCTTTTGCTGTGTTTTTGTGGGTTTGTTTTGGGGTTTTTTTGTTGGGTTTTTTCCCCATTGCTCTATGGTATCCTTCCTCTCGCCTCAGAAATCCCTTTGTAATATCCCCTGGTCTCTGGCTTTCTTGACTGCACTTGCCCTCACCATGGTCCACACCCTCCTAATTCCAAACTGAGTTCTCTCCCCTTCGTGCCAGAGAGATGAGCAAGCACACAGTCCTGCACCCTTGCCTGCAGCTCCCTGCCCGTGCTGGAAGTGAATCTGGGGATCTGGCCTGCAGGCTCTGGGAAGGTTGGCAGAGCAGACATTGGCTGTGCTCCTCCTGCCTGCCTGCTTTGCACCCGCAGTTTGACATTTACAAAGTGACTTTCAGAAAAACTCATCAAAGACAGAGGAGATGCCACAGACATCAGGAAAAAGGCAATAAAAGAGTCAAAAGGGATGCTCAAGCAGCCTGTTTAGTTCTAGAAACAAAGCTTGTGCTACCCTGCCATATTACTGATGCATGGGATGTGATGGGGACCACAGCCAAGTCATCTTTGCTCAGGTGTCATTTGTGGAAGATCAAAGATGGATTCAGACATCTTGTAATAGCAAAAAGGAACAGGAAAGAATAGCAACTGTTGCCCAACTGCCAAGAAAGAGGCAAAGGTATCACAGAGGAAGGTGCTGGAGTCAAACAGAGATGACAAGAATTCATGTTTTCATTTTGAGAGAAGTCAGCACTGAAGGATGACAACACAGCTGTGGGATGTCAGCTAAAGAGCTGACTGTGAGCTCTCAGGAATGGGAGAGCTGAGATCAGTCCTCCCTGGTGTGAAAATCTCTTGGGGACAGTTCTGACAGGGACATGGGATACCTATGCATTTTCTGGGATTACTGAAGGAGAAAGCCTTGCGAAGGGCTAGGATCTGAGCAGAGCTAGAAGCAGGTGTTCACGCTTGGGAAGTTCAGGAGATTGACCTCACTGTTAATCAGAATACCAGCTGCAAAATGAACTCACATACATTCACTGCCCCAGGAATGACCCTATTCCAATCCAGAAAATGTTCCCTCCCTATTTCAGGCTTTACATTACCTCTTAGTCCTGGGCCTCTCCTGAATGCGCTTGGGTATTCATGCTTGGGTCCATTATGAACAAAGGTTGTTAAACCTTGTCATGTACAATATGTCTAGCTGGAGTTTCCGTAGGCCCCCAGAGAAGGAAAAAAGGGGCCTCCATGATACTTCTCCTTGGCAATAGCACAAATAGCCTCTGCCTCTGGGCCTGGTCTGTAAGAAGGGCATTTTCCAAAACCAGATCACATGTAACTTTCTATGACCTTGTAGCCTTTAGTTTTCTAACTTTAGTTTTATGAATGAATCTCTATTAAAAGCGGGGGGTAAATGTTTTTCCTTTGTCCCTCTTTCAGTTTACAAATTTGTCTTCTCCTATAGCCAGCTGTTAAAAGATTGGTTCTGCCCCTGCTTTCACCTTTCCTGTTTTATCAGCTGAGACGTCAAACTGAGGGCCTGACCACTTGGTGTTAAAGATCCATGGCTCTTTTTGTAAGGCAGTGGCCTGGCCAACTCTAGACTCTAAATGCTGCCTTGTCTTACAGTTTGAGTTAGCCTCTCACACCCTAAATTGCAAGGTGCCATTGCCTTGAGCAATGAAC